TTTCAAAATCATTTCAGTTATTTGAATCCATATTAGCGTTTAGTAAACTTTATAATATAATAATATTTACATAGTTTTTTTAAATATCGCGTTAATAAAGTTTGTTATAAATTACTTTTGCAAATTTACCTCTAGAACGTAATTCGTTTGCTCTGGCAAATAGCTTCTTCCTGACTTCTATCGTCCGCTCGCTAAAGTCTTCATTGATGTAGATTTTTTGGTTCCAAAGTTTCAGTTTGATATAATTTTCCAGAATTGTACTTCTGTTTTTATAATTTAGGAATTTGACTATTATCGGTCTGTTTCTGGGTTTATTTTTTGATTCATTTTTTCCTACTCGGTGGGCTCTCTCTATATTTACATTATACTTAATCCCAATTTAATAAATTCATGTACTTTTTTTTTTCGCTTTCTTCCCATGATTCGTTATCACAGTCTTCGATATTATTGATTCTAAGATTGTTTCGTAGGCTGCGATCTTCTAATTCAGCCAGTTTATTAATAATAATATCTTCTAATTTCTTCTTCTCATTGCCTTGATTACTAATGTCGCTTTTTTTTTTTTTTTAAATTTGTTACTTCGTTATTTATGTTTTCGTATTTTTCATTAATATATTCCATAGATTTTTTCAGTTCATTAACTTCATTTTTTTAAATACTTATTTTCTTTTTCAATTATGTTGCATTTGTTTTCCAATCTTTCGATTTTGTCATTTTAGAAGCTTGATTGTTGTATTTTCGTGCATATTCAAGAGTTCTTTACTTTCCGTTATAATAAATTTTTTTTACATTTTGTTTTGTTTAAAATATTATGTAATAAAATTGTTTTAATGACATTTCTTGTAGCACTTGATAATTTATTTATTTAATATATAAAGCATAAAATACAGCTAAGTACTTTAAACTAAGTAAACTAAAAATTGGTACTTAGCTGTGTTTTATGTTTTATATATTAAATATATGTAAATAAATAAACTTAGGAAGTTTCTAAAGCGCGTCCAATTGCTTCAAAGTCGCGGCAAAAAATAAGACCTTAAATACTCCACTGCGCAGTGTGGAAAAAAAGTTACAACCTGAGAATGTTAATTCTCAGGTTGTAAATTTTTTTTTATATAAAACTCAATTGAATTTTAATAAGATAATTTTTTTGGAGCCTGGGAACAAAAAAGCAATTACAAATTTATTCCTTTAATCCCCAAATACGTGCATACAATATAAGTTAAAAAATGTTTGATCTTATACTAAATTGAAATTTGCTGACAAGTTTCAAATTTCATATAAGCGTTTATGTATGTTAGTTTTGCCCATGTTTACCATAGTTGTGACCATGTGGCCATTTGAAAGTTATGCCATGTGAAACTTACAAATCCCTTTTACAAACAAACTGTTACAAACTTTTTTTTTTTGATATTTTAATTTTTACTGGGAATCTTGAGAAACTTTTAGACATTTCTATTTGTAAATGCATAATTGTTTTCAGCAGTGAATTTCACAAAAATAGCTATTTGGATAAAAACCCAGCGAAAATATTAAGGCAGTATGAGAGACCAGGATTAGTTGTCTCTGGCTGTTTGAACTCTGTAGCTCTAATGTCAATAATTTTTTTTAATAAAAGTGTAGTTTTGAAGAGTATGAATTTAACATTTTCAATTCATTTTCCATTTATTTAAAAAAAAATATTTTTATGGGCCCTTTCTGAGGTTCCAAAAAAAAAAAAAAAGTGCGTTAATTATCAACTTGTTGTTCTTACGTTTGGGGCAGGGGGCAATAATTTTGGGAGGCTTTTTGTTCCCAGGCCCAATCATGTTGGATCCGCCCCTGCTATATATTGTAAAAAATTACAACAATTGAAAATAAAACGGAAATAGCAAATCAATTGTGACTGAAATCTTTACATTACTATTTTTTCATACGATCTACTATTTTCTTTGTAAAGTAAAATGAATGCAATGTTCCAAAAGTTACGTTTTTGTTCAAATAACGCCTTAATTCACATCTCTCCTATGCGCATGCATGAATCATTACAATACTACAGTAAAAGATGAAATGGTCAATTAGAAAGTTTTTATGAATTTGGCACTTTTTGATGAAAGACTCTGAAGATAAAGATAATTTGTTAACTTTTGCTGCTAGTTAACCCCAGTCTCTCCAACTTCTTTTATTCAAGAATTTGATCTCGATGTTGAAGAAACTGAAAAACTTAGGTTCAAAAGTTTATTTAGGTAATAAAATATGGCTCAATCAATAAGGAGAAGAAGTTAGAGTCATTGAAATCATTTAACAATACCAAATAAAAAGTTGGTATGGTCAGTGATAGTAATACACTCAGTGAAAAAAACTCAAAACTAGAAAAACTCAATACTATAAAAATAAGAGAATTGTGTTAAGGAAATAGTATTAAGATAGTATAGAAAGAAAACATGAAATTAAAAACCTTGTCGTACTTTAAAGCCATTTCGACTTTGGTAAAAACAATATCTAGAATCGAACAAGTATCTAAGCTTTATCTAAGTGAACTCAAGGTCAGGTCAGGTCAGGTCAGGTTTATCCTGCTACTTTAAGGTCAGGTTAGGTTTATTCTGCTACTGGTAACATGTAACCCAGTACAATTTGCTTCATGTTCTGCTGCCTTGTAGGATATGCCTTTTTAGGCAAAGGCTAGGAGATGCAAACTCCGACACATAACACCCCCTACCTTGGGGCTCTTGGTTGAGTAAAGGCTAGAGATGGTGTCTCGATAAAAATACTCATCTTGGGCAGATGTTAAATGCATCTGGCTGCTGTCTTCTAGAAGGCCTCCTAGGCAAAGACTTAAGGGGTCAACAGATTTTATCTGTTGACCAGCCTCGCACCCCTTCTCTATCTATTAGGCTGGCGCAGATGTATTTTTAATACATTGTTTCCAGTTTGGGATGTTGAACGCTGGATCTTCTTGACTCGATGCATGGGTTTTGCTTGTCCCTCTCTTTTTATGACTAGGCAACTTATTCTATTATCTCCAAACGAGATAATAGAATAAGTTGTACAGTTCAAAAACTCAGTTTTATGGTTCTGAGGCTGGCTGTTAGTCAGTTTTCCCGAACTCTGTGGTAGCTCTCAGAGAGGCTGATTCCATCAACAGCTGAAAAATATCAGAGTACTAACAGTGCCATGTTGCGCATGGATGGTGTCCCTGTTTGTACTTTTGGTGTGCATTGCCAAGGCCACATTGGAGCCCTTTGTTACGGCTCAGGGTTTATTAGTGGAAATGAGGCAATTGCTTGGGCTATAAAACAGTGTACTGAGTACTATCTATGTTTTGAGTCAAGTTCTTTAACAAACTTAAAAATGAATAAAGTAACAAAACTATAAAACACAAAAAACCACAGTCATCACCAAGTTCGCTAAACCTATCATTCACCAATATTCGTGGTCTTCGAAGTAACTATTCTTCTGTTGAGTTTTATCTCTTGCAAAGTTCACCAGACCTACTTGCTCTTTGTGAGACTAATTTGAGTTCAGCTGTCTCATCTTGTGATCTTAGTGTTGATGGTTATCTTCCTTTTATTCGTAAAGACTCCAATAGTCACATGCTTGGCCTGGGCATTTACATTCGTAAGAATTCACCCATTTGTCGGGAAACTAGGTTTGAATCCACAGACTACTCTTTTATGTGCTTTCGTTTAGCACCACTTCACTCTATCCCCTTTTTCTTTGTTCTATATCGCTCTCCTTCATCTCAAGACTGCACTCTTCTTGATGTTATTTCTGATTAAATTGACCAAACCCTCATTCTTTATCCATCAGCCAATATTGTTGTTGTCGGTGACTTTAATGTTCATCACACTGAATGGCTTGGCTCTAGTGTCAGTAACTCCACAGACATTAAGGCCCTCAACATTTGCTTTTCTCAATCCCTAACTCAAATAGTCAACTTTCCAACTCGCTTTCCAGACAACCCGAATCATTTACCTTCTCTACACGACTTATGTCTTGTTTCTAATCCTAGTCAGTGCACAGTTTCTCAACACTCACCCTTAGGTGTTTCTGATCATGGTTTGGTCTCTCTAAAACTATTATCTCATTCTTCTTTACCATCAGAATTCCCCTATCATTGTACATCTTGCAACTACCTTAAAGCTGACTTGGACTTATTCTGTGATTTTCTTCGTGATGGCCCCTGGGTAGAAATCTTTTGTCTTCCTGTTGACAAATGTGCTTCTTACATAACTTCGTGGATTCAGGCTGGCATGAAATCTTTTACTCCCTCTCAACGATTCCAGGTCAAGCCTCACTCTTCTCCATAGTTTTCCTCACATTGTGCTGCTGCAATTGCTAATCGAAACCATTACTTCCATATCTATCAGCAAAACAATTCTCCAGAAAACAGACGTCTGTTTATTACTGCTAGGAACCATGGCTCCTAGCAGCATATATATATATATATATATATATATATATATATTAGACTGCTTCATTTTGAGGTCATGAAAAAATTTTAAGTACCATGGAGTGTTATCTGCTGCGTTGACCCTTATTTTATTAGTAGAATTTTTTTTTTTTTAAATTTAGACCACTTTTAAGGGTTGCTCAAGTGCCTCAAAACTCATATTTTAGGCTTTTTTACCCTTTTTTAAGCCCATTTTTCGCACGTTTGAGCAAGTACTAAAACTCAAAAAAATTGAATTTTTTTTTTTTCTAGAGTTTTTTCTAAGTTAGAATAAAAAAATTAAAATGCATGGTAATTTTATTTTATTGAAATAATTTGTGTAAATTTATCTACAAAAACGCAAAGTTATGCAGATTTTAACCGAATATTACGCATTGCAATATCTTTATGTATATGTTAAGCTATTTGGAAAAAAAAACTTAACTATGTTGCATAAAACATCTATATATAGCATTAAAGGTCTATATAAATTTTATTATATTGCAAGAAACTTCATTAAATTACATGAAACGAAAAAAATCTAATTATATTGAATAAAACGTCTAGCAATTTTGTTATACAAATTTCTTTATAATTAAATTTCTATAAAATTTATAATTATTTTTTAAAAATGTTATGTTATATTTTTATATTGTTTATTTTTTTGTTTTTCTTGGATTTCTTAGTTTTTCCTCCATACTTCCTTTTGTAATTATGCAAAAATAAAAGTGAATCCTGTCTTTTCTCTTCTTTTCGGGCAATATCAATTTTGTCTTTTATGAGTTTAACGATTCTTTCCGAGCAATCATTAACAACTGAAAGATTAAAAACTGCCTCCTGAAATTTTAAGTAGAAATTGTTGCAAGTCCAATATTCTGGAGGGGTTTTCATCCATTGACAGTCACTTTTACTTTGGCCTATCATAAGGAACAATAGCCACGAATTTTCTGTGACCAAATGAACTAAGCTGGGAGGCTTCGGTCCACTGAAGTCTAAAGAATTGAGGACCTCTATGTTAGCACTTATTCGGGCTAACGGATATTCATCCATACTATGAAATTCAAAGCTGTATAGTTTTTGAGCAATATCACCTCTTTCTTTACATTTTTCATCAGCTAGAGCTAGTACAATAAGGTAAGGGTCCAGAAACCATGTGTGGCGTTTGATAGATTTAATGACTGATTCTGCCCCAATCAAATTGTACTCCTTAAATCTATTCATTTGCCAAAGCGCTCTCATATCCTGTATGTATATATATATATACTTATATATATATATATATATATATATATATATATATATATATATATATATATATATATATATATATATATATACATATATATATATATATATATATATATATATATATATATATATATATATATATATATATATATATATATATATATATATATATATATATATATATATATATATGTAAATATATATATATATTTCATACTTTTTAAGTTGGTACCTACCTGATTCGGAGCAGCAGCAGATAGTTCAGCTTTGAGAAACCAGGTAGTATAAAAAACAGAGACAAAAGTTGCCACTTCAGTAATTTCATGCTTCAGCCATTTTTCCAGACTAGGTATAGCATCCATCATAAGTTGGAGTTTTAGGTAGTAGATACCTATAAAAAAAAGTCTTTTTTTTTTAATTTTTTAAAAAGAATAATACTTGATAATGTAAAACAAATTCCTTTTTTTTGCAACTTGAACCTTTTTTTATCATGAACCTACAATTCCTTACCTTTTGCCATAAAACGGGCATGGTGGACTGCTCCGGGAGTACGAAATTTATACCTGTCTTCAGAAAGCACCATAAGTGTAAGCTCTGCCAGCTCAATGTAGTCCTTCCTTGTAGCCCCATCCTAAAAATGAAATAAAATAATTAGTATTTAGGTATAATAAAATAAACCTATTTATATTTTAGTATAATAAAGAATAATAGAATTAAAAAAGAAAAATTTATGAAAAAATTTCAACATAAAAGTACATACTACATAGATACCTACAAATTCAGATATCTAGTTATTGGCTACCTTTTTTAGAGACCCACTGGCGATAATATTTCTGCAGAACGTTATGCTTTCATGCTTTTGATGACCAACCATGTTTCCTCTGGAATAGTCAATCTTCTCAAAACCTTATTTATTCAAAACGTAAAAAAAATATTCAAAGAACTCAAAATTGGAAAAAGAAAATTATTTTGAAAAAATATTATTTCACAAAATGGTAGCTAATTTTGTAAAAACCTACCTGGTTGTCTGCGTCAAGATCATTCCATGCTGATTTTAAAGTTTTAAAAAGCAGATTATCTGGTCCAGAAGTAATGCTACTTTGATAATTTTTCCAGTAATGTGTTATGTGTAGCTCATTGACATAATGTCGGCATGCAATAGATAGAACTGGTCGTTGAAAGACTTCATTTACCAGTAAAGATACAGCTCCATTTTTTTTTCCAGCGTTGATTCTGCTAGTATCAAATGTTACAGCTTGTATATTGTCTGTAAGGTTAAAGCTATTTAAGATATCTCTGATTGCATTTTTTTGATTTTTGCCAGTTCCAGAAGAAATGGGTGGAATTCCCAACAGGTGCGTTTCTTTGTTAGCGTTTATTAATATTGCTAATCGATCTTGTTCCAATTTTTTCCCATCAGTATATTCATGACATACTTTTCCATCAAAATGGAGTTGAACTAAAATGTTCTTATTGATTTTTCTTAAACTTCTTAAATCATCCTTGATCCTCTTTGATTCATCATGAATGACCTTATCTGCAGCGCGTAATGCTGTAGAGGTTGAAGATTTAAATTCAGCTACATTTCCACCCGATTTCGCGATTATACTATTAATCATGGAAGCATGCTGCCTATGACTTATTCCTTCCCCAACAGCAGTATCAGCAGTTCTCTTGAGAATATCTTTTGGAAGCATAACAGTATTAGTTTTTTTGACTTTTTTCTTTAACTCTGGATCTGGGTATGAAAAATCATCATTACCTTCATCTTTCTCCGATCCATTTGAGCTGAATTCACTCTCTGACATGGTTTCATGCAAATTTGATTTTCTTTTAATTTTGGATAAACTCCTGTTTACAGAGTAAAGGTACCTTGTATCGATTCCACCTATTCTAGTTTTTCTATCTCCTAATTGGTCTAATAAAAATGCAATATCTTCAGTCTTGTCTTGATCCTTTCGTTTCCTATCAGCTTTAATGATTGCAACCAGAGTATCAAGCTCAGGTGCAATCCAAAAGATACTTTTCATCTGAGTTAAAAACCTCATCCTTTTTTCAATCTCTGATAAAGTTTGTCTTGCTTTGTTTTTTTTTAACAGTTTCCAGGTTTGGATCAGCTTCTCTATCTTTATACTAAAAAATGTGATTTATAGGTTCGGTATATTTTACAACACACCTATTTCTGTTAATTAACTTATTTAACAGCAGACATTAGTTATATTAATATTTTCCGCTAATAAGTAATAATATATAAATAAAAAAACATATACAGTCTGGTACCTACCTAATTGTCTGTAATTGTAAAATCTGAAATCCACCCTTCAACCAAGGTGTAATTAACTTTGAAAGAGTGCAGCAAATATGTTTTTCATTATGGCAGCTGATTTCAAGATTTTTTGTCAATGGACAGTGGATAATTCTACTTTCTTTTTGTTTTGGGTACTTCTCCTTTAAATGCAAGAAGTATTGCAAAACCTCTTGCTTTGTAGCAAACTTGTCTTTTGGTAAGGATGACCTGGATTCCCTTACCAAAAAATGTGTGTCAACTTTTTTCTTACTTTTCCCTGACATGATTAAATCGGTAGTAAATAGCTTTATTTAGTATATGGAGTAAGTATATCATAAGAGTAATCTATATTTATTTCCCGCGTTTTTAAATCAAAATTAAATATCGTTTTTGTTAAGTAATTTGCATAACATGTTTAAGCAAATACGCAACATTTTTAAATTAACGCGAAGCGCAACAATTGCATAACTTTGCGTTTTTGTAGATAAATTTACACAAATTATTTCAATAAAATAAAATTACCATGCATTTTAATTTTTTTATTCTAACTTAGAAAAAACTCTAGAAAAAAAAAAAATTCAATTTTTTTGAGTTTAGTACTTGCTCAAACGTGCGAAAAATGGGCTTAAAAAAGGGTAAAAAAGCCTAAAATATGACTTTTGAGGCATTTGAGCAACCCCTAAAAGTGGTCAAAATTAAAAAAAAAAAAAATTCTACTAATAAAATAAGGGTCAACGCAGCAGATAACACTCCATGGTACTTAAAATTTTTTCATGACCTCAAAATGAAGCAGTCTAATATATATATATATATATATATATATATATATATATATATATATATATATATATATATATATATATATATATATATATATATATATATATATATATATATATATATATATATATATATATATTGCATACTTTAATTGGCTTAAGCCAATTATGTGTAGAGTAACATATTGTACCTTCTAACATCGTGTGCAATCCTGTCCGCTTTCTGTATGCCATCTTTCTAACACGACTTCTTCTGTCTTTTACTCTAACATTCTTTGTTCTTCCTAAACTCACTTTACTCTTGGTCCGTAGAGCAGGTAATGACGCTATTCATTAGCTGAACTTGTCTTTGCGGTCCTTGGTAATGTGGCCTCCGTATGGCAATTAGCTGGAGGAGGATAAACCACAATACCTGTTATTACATGTAATATATAATATTAGGTAAAGAAAATAGAATTATATGAAAGTTTTAACTCCGAATAATATTAAATACAACGTTTTGCCAGATAAAGTTCAACATTAAATCAACGTAAATACAACGTTGAGCCAACTTAAAATACAACGTTGAGCCAATGTATAAAATAAAACGTTGAATCAACGTAGTAAATATAACCATTTTCCGACTTTAAACAAACGTTTTATCAACATTGGTTTTTAGTTGTAGGCGACGTCGCATTTGTAACCATAATGATATAAAAACAACGTTGGCAGCCGATGTTGGGCCAACGAAACGCGCGGCATTGTTCTAATGTTTTAACAACGTATGTGTGCTAGCTGGGAGAGGATTCCTATAGGACCAATTTGAAATTTAATTGCAATCCTATAGGTCCTATAGGATTCAAATAGAAAGAATAAAACTGCTATAGTGTTAACAGTGTAATCCTACACAAATTATGTTATACCTACAAGATTTATAGGACTAAATCTAGAGAAATAAATCAATATCCTAAAGAAATTAATCTTTTATCCTATTAGATTTGAATGGCTTTTTAAATGTAAAATACAAATTTCTCACTGTAAATTTATAGCCAACTAACATTACAACATGTATTTGTTTATCAAATTTCAAGCAAGTTAAAACCTAATGGATTATCCATTAGGTTTTAATTTGCTTGTAATTATTTTGCGTTTTTTTTTTGTTGTTGTTTTTTTTAACATTATATTTTGCCGTATTACAGTATTTTCATAAATTTATTACAGTTTACATAAATTTACAATTAAGTTAATGGCATTAACTTGCCTTATCGCCGAGCACCGTGTTACTATTTATAATTTTTTACAAAGTTATTGAAGAATATATAGTATATAAGAAAAATTGAATAAAATGTTTACAAAGATATAAAAAATAAAATAAAATATCGTTTAATATATAATATCATTAATAGATTATGTAAAAGTAAAAATGAATGTATATAAATTTATATACACATTCGCACACTTACACATACAAGCGCACATATACCCATACAACACACACACAAATACACATATATAAATACATATATATACACATATATACATACATAAGTACATATATACACATACATAAGTATGTATATATATCTTATACTGCTGAGTTAGGTGAGCATGATGACATCATACTGAAATAGCCTGCTGCGGGGGCTTCAGTACATACATCGACTGAAAAATAGCCTGACACGCAGTGGAGTGCTGCTACATCGATGGAGGTTTGGTATGGGTCAGCAACCTTTTCATTCATTATTCTTCGTTTTCCCTCATCGTTTTCTCAAAACGCTCACTTAATTTAGACTAGCAAAAAAAGTGAGCAATATATATATATATATATATATATATATATATATATATATATATATATATATATATATATATATATATATATATATATATATATATATATATATATATATATATGTATATATACATATATGTATACATACATATATATATATATATATATATATATATATATATATATATATATATATATATATATATATATATATATATATATATATATATATATATATATATATATATATATATATATATATATATATATATATATATATATATATATATATATATATATATATATATATATATATATATATATATATATATATATATATATATATATATATATGTTTATATACACGCAAAAAATAAAAAGCGAGAAAATGCGATTTGTGATAATGGTTATTGTCAATAAACTTTTAACCTTTTTTTAATGATTACAAGGAATAGCTACCTTGTTTTTAGTTTTTAATTGATCTATTTTAAAAGAAAGACTTATAATAAAATAAATTAAAATCTGTGTTAAATAAAAACTGTTTTGAATCAGTTTTGAACTGATGTAGAGAATTTTTCTTTTCGGAAACAATGTTTGGGAATCTTTTCCACAAAAGTAGTCCGCGTTTCTGAATTGAATAAGAATTCTGCTTAAAATGAGATTTTTGTATAACAAAGTGGTTTGCGGAAAATCTTGTAGCATATTTATGGTGTATTTCTTTAAAATAAGTTTCAAAGATTTTTGGGGACAGTCCATAATTTATTTTATATATGAACTATAGAACAAGATGGATATTAAATTTGAAAGTATTCAAGGCACCAATTATATATAAAAGAGGTTTACAAGAAATTGCTCTACCAGCTCCAAATATGATTCTAACAGCATGTTTTTGTTTGCTAGTTTTTTCTAGCTTAGTGTGGTAAGTATTTGCCCATATGATGTTGCCTTAAGTTAATTAACTATGTATAAAAGGAAAATATACATTTTTTAAGGACTTAAAATTCAAAAATGACCTTACTCTATAGATCATTCTAATGTTTTTTGAGTTTTTTTTTTCTATAGAATTTATATGTAGTCTCCATGATAAGTTTTTATCAAAGCTAACACCTAAAAAATTTTTTCTCGGAACATGTATGCAAGCTAAAAGGATGTGTAATCGTGAGTGATTTTAAGATAATATTTTGATTTTTCAAAAAAAAAAAAAACTTCACCTTGCTACACCCAACCAAAGTTTTTCAAAACTTGTAACGTTCCACAAGATTGAAATTTTCTCGAGATCTAAGATACATACAAACATGTATACGACTTATTTGTTAGCTTACTATGTCTAGAGCATGCTTGATAAAAATTGGCACCCTAGCTTTATTGGATCACCTTGCTACAACTTGATTTCGGAAACCTTGAGAGTATGGACGGAGGGGTGGGGGTGGTGGAGGTAAGAGCAAAAAAAAAAAGTTTCCGTTTAGCAAATCACTTAGTTACAATATGGTTATAAAACCGCATAATAATTTTTATTTAATTTTATCGTAAAAATATTGTGATATAGAATAAAATAGAAAAGTAAATTATCAATAATAAAAATCTATTTAGATAAAGGAATAAAAATTAAGATTCGTTTACAATCTATAATATAAAGTATAATATAAACCACAAATTTTAAAGTATACAAATAATAACACCGCTAAGTATCATTATTATTAGGACAAGAGAAAAACATGCAAAAAGCCACATGTTTTTTTGTTCAAAAAACCGATTTACTTATGAAAAATTTTGTATTTAAAAAATATTATTTGTTTCACAAAACCTCATTATAGAATTTGTTTATATTGACAATTTAAAAAGACTGCGTTTGGTACATATAAAAATGCAGTTAGACAATTTTTAACAATTATTGAATATTTATATTTTATCTACACTTTTTTTATTTATCAAAATCAGTATCTAAAGTTTTTATTGCTTTTGGTTTTAAAGTTAGTTTAATGCTGGTTTTTTATTAAAAGTACATTCATAAAGTTGTTTATGTTTAGTTATTTTTAATAATAATGTAAACTAATATTTTTTGAATGTATTTAATGAAATTTTTGAACTATGAGGAGCTAGGACAGGTATTTTTAGATTCCGATATTATGAAATGCAAAAGAATTCTATTAAGAGAAGAAGAGTAAGTGCTCACACCAAGGAGCACTTTTTGGTGGGTAAACCAGCTAAGATCTGTTCCATGAAGCTACCGACTAGGGCTGATGTGATTAAGCAATTTCTTTACCTTAAAGAAAAAAATGGGCCATGTTATCAAAAAAAGCGTTTTGAATGCTGTCCTCTCAGCAACAAGTTTAGGTTCAATTTCTAATTTATACTTTAATTGGTTTAAAATGAACAAAAAACCTACAGAAAAACATATCTATTTATAAGTAAATAACACTTCAATAGCATTGAGGAAAAAATATAATGTTATATGTAATTTCACAAAAATTATGTTTGTTGAAAAAAAATATCTGATAAGTGAGTTTTTCGTCATAAATTCTTCAAATTTTTTTATTCAGTGTCCTGTGTACTTCTTTGGATACTACTTGCAAAAAGAGCACTTTGATTTCCATGGCTAAGATCTGGTTTCCCTATGATTGGACCTGTCACCCTGCAAAGAAATATAACAAAATATATTAACAGATATCTGAAGCTCAAGAAAAACCAACGTAGCAGTAAGGCAGGATGTGTGCAATCTCACTCTGACTTTTTAAAGACTTTAAGAGGTACTAACTACTTTTTATTCAAAAAGTTATTTCTAATCTCCTTTGAAATTCACTCCTGCAGTTTAAATGAAATAAACTTCACAAATATTTACTTGAATTGTTAATTTTTTATTTAATATAAATATTTTCAAGGACTGTTTTGGCTCAGTAACACAAAGAAAAGTCTTATCAAAGCAATCAAAGCAGAAAAAGATAGGCTTCAGTCCGACAAGTCTGAGGACTTGCTTTTTC